TTTTTTTTTTCTTTTTTCTGTGAATTCTTGTTTATCTTGATTAAGAAATACTCTTCATATAGAGGTTAGGAGCAATTGAAAAGGGAAGAAATCAAATAAGCTAATCACTTACAGTAAACCAACTTTATAAGGAAAGGAATCCAATATTAACAAATCAAATGAACAGTAAAGGAAATTATTTTGATATATAAATCAACTAGTCTCCATGATTTCATAATCAGATGTACTTATCAATGTTAGGCATGATGTCCTGCATCTTTGATAATATTTCCTAAAGTATACATCAATTTACATGCGATAATATAACTCATTAAAGGGCATGCATCGTTTATACAACGGTCTAGAAGTTAGAGATCAAAGTTTTTCCACAAATTTTACCCAAGAAAAATCAGTTCATCTCTGCAGCATTTGAGCTGTAATTTGTGATGCCAATGCATTCTATTTAAGGTCGTCTGGTATTTATGGCTTGTACTAGTTTATCAAGGCTCTTGGAAAAATTTCAATTAGATTCCATTTTAGAAGTTGGGACGTCTTTGTTTTTATTAATGTTTATCAATATCTACAGATAATCGGGTCAAGCTCCATATATTAATAACTGGGCACATGAATAAAGAGAAAAAGTTGAACATGTATTAATAATTGTTCACATAAATACAGAAAAAAAAAATAAATAAAAAATCACAAACTGTAAAACATATCTACCCATGCCAATAACTCTAGCCTATGAGTGAATTACATCATTTCAAATCCAAATAAGTTCCTTTAGCACAAACACCATAGGTCTTATATATTTCCATATATGATCTTGATGTTCAACTCAATAGTTACACATAATATCTGTCATTGGTGCAACTTTTCTGAAATAAATACATGATTGTCACAGACTAGAGAGAGTTTTTAAGCATGTTGTTGAAGGAGGGGTTCTGTATATTAAAAAAAATTTGATGGGGACGCTTATATATTATATACCCCACGCGCAACACTACTACACATAGTGACAAGTTTTATACACCTTT